GCGGGAACCAAACCCGGGTCTCTCTGGACTGCAGGCTGATGCTTCAACCGCTGAGCCAAACCGGCCAGGGCTAAAACTGTAAATTTATAAATGGAACCGTCCTCTAATATATATTAATATAAGGTTTGTAAAGGCATATAGATCAATGGAGTAGATAGCCCAGAAATAATCCTTACATACAGGGGTGGGAAAAAGTAGGTGTACAGTTCTGAGTCTACAAAACAGAATTTATTCTTGTGTTATTATTTGTTAATTGGTTTTATTTGTATTATAACTGTAAACCTAATTTTGCCAACCTCTGTATATGGTTATATAATTTTCAAAAAGGTGCTAAGACTATTCAGTGGAGAAAGGACAGTCTTTTCAACAAATGATGTTGGGAAAACTGAATATCCACATATAAAAGAATGAAGTCCGACCCTTATGTAACATCATATACAAAAATTAACTCAAAATGCATCAAAAACCTAAACCTAATTCCCACAGGAGCTCTTTTAGTTTGTGCAAGTCAACTGAAACTTGAGTCAGGCTGAGGTTAGATGTCACAGTGCTGTCGTTTTACCTTTTACTCGGGATTTACTGGCTGCTTTTATGGGCCTGCTTTTGATGTCATCGTGTTTAATATTCTAGAGCTGTAAAGTATGCATGAATGACTGGAAATGAATACAAAGTGGTATTTATATGGCACTTTTATACCTGGCAAAGTATTTTCTATTTTCCTTATGTTTATGCATTTTTCAATATTCTGGGACTTATATATGACAAACAAAGAAACTTAACATTTTAAATAAATTATTTAATTATGTACAACTGTTTATTTTAAGAGAATTTTGGAAGATTTTAATTGAAAGAGTATATTCATTAGAATGCTTTGGTTTGCAAGTAACCAAGAAAACCCATTTTAATAACTTCCGGTCAAGATGGCGAATAGGTAAACGAGGTCTCGCATCCTCTCACAAACACATCTAAGTTACAGCAGAACAACCATCATTCAAAACCTCCTGAAACAAAGCTGAATGGAAGTCCTACAACTACGGAATTAAAGAAGCAGCTGCATCGAGACTGGTAGGAGGGGCGGAGGGGCGGACAGGCTGGTCCCACACCCACGTGTGGCGGATAAAAATCAGGAGGACACCTCAGCTGGGAAGGTCCTCCCTGAGGACTGAGGGGTCCCCGTCCCACACTAGGCATACTGCTCAGGGTTCCAGTGCCCGGAAGAGAAGTCCCCATAACTTCTGGCTGGAAAAACCAGCGGGAACTGAGGCTCAGGGAGGCTGAGGCGGCTGGAGCCCTAGGAAGTTCCTCTTAAAGGGCCCGCGCACGGACTTACTCGGACTTGAACCCTCCAGGCTCCAGCATGGAGGAAGCAGCTCGAAAAGTACCAGAGACATACGGGGAAGAACTGAGATGTTTGGCATTGGGGCAAGAGCTGGAGAGGGGGCTTTCTCCTGGACAGACGTGCTGTCAGAGGCCTTTGTTCCTTTGGTGAGCCCTTTCCTTGAGCAGCGGACAGCCACCATATCTAGGACTCCAGCAACCTGGCTCACACTGGTTGCCCTGCCCTGGTGACTCACTGAGGCCCTGCCCCACCCAACTTTTAGGCCCACCCAAGCTGTTGTCGGTTGCTTTACCAAAGCAATGGCTTGTCTTGGATCCTGCTTCAGAGTTTCCTAAATTTTTTTTTCTTTCTTTTCTTTTCTTTTTTCTTTTCTTTTTTATCATCCTCACCCGAGGACATTTTTCCATTTTTTGTTCAGGTAGAGTGGGAGGGAGAGAGAGGAACAGAGAGAGAGAGAGAGAGAGAAACATCGAGTGGCTGCCACCCACACAACCAACCAGGGCCAGGGACAAACTGCAACCGAGGTATGTGCCCTTAGCGGGAAACGAACCTGGGTCTCTCCAGACCGCAGGCCAATGCTCTAACCACTGAGCCAAACTGGCCAGGGCTCTTTTTTTTCTTTCTTTTTTTTTTTTATCCTCACCCGAGGACATTTTCCCATTTTTTGTTCAGCTAGAACGGGAGGGAGAGAGAGGAAGAGAGAGAGAGAGAGAAACATCGATGTGAAGGGACACATCGAGTGGCTGCCACCCGCACGACCAACCAGTGCCAGGGACAAACTGCAACCGAGGTATGTGCCCTTAGCGGGAACCGAACCCGGGTCTCTCTGTACCGCAGGCCGACACTCTAACCACTGAGCCAAACCAGCCAGGGTGTTTCTTTTCTTTTCTTTTCTTTTCTTTTTTTTTCTTTTCTTTTCTTTTCTTTTCTTTTCTTTTCTTTTCTTTTCTTTTCTTTTCTTTTCTTTTCTTTTCTTTTCTTTTCTCTCTTTCTCTCTCTTTCTCTCTCTCTTTTTTTTTTTTCAGCAGGAGGGAGAGAGGAGGGAAGAGAGAGAGAAACATCGATGTGAGAGAGACACATTGACTGGTTGCCACCCACATGGCCCCATCCAGAGCCAGGGACAAACTGCAACTGAGTTATGTGCCCTTAGCGGGAACCAAACCCTGGACTCTCTGGTCCCGTGGGCCAACGCTCTAACTGCTGAGCCAAACTGACCAGGGCACAGAGTTTCCTAAATTCTTTCAAACAAGCAGCATCTGGTCTCAGTGAACCCCATACCTCTCATTAAGTGGCCCTAGACCTGGCACTAGAAGCAGCCAGCCTTGGTTCATAACTTGGCTTTTCCTGGGCACCTCCAAGCCCAGCACAAGAAGCATCCATCTGAAGACTGCTTTGTAGCTTATGCCTGGTGGCCCCGGGTACAACACCAGAGAGTGGCTGACCTCGCCCCAGAGCCAGCACACCCAATGGACAGCTTCAGAACACTGCAAAGCACCACCACCCAACCACCTCCACAAATGACACACTCAAGAAGTGGACTCAGTGGGTACCAGAGCCCTGCTGAAGTAAGTCTTGCTCTGTGTGGTGGACCCCTGCACAGCTGATCATCCAAGGTAATTAGAGGTTGGTGGATAGTGGGCACAGCCAGTCTTTACAGCTGATCAGCCTAAGTAAAACCCTCTCATTGATGTGCCACCCTAGGAAACCCAGGAGACATAGCAACTCTACCTAATACATAGAAACAAACACAGGGAGGCAGCCAAAATGAGGAGACAAAGAAACATGTCCCAAATGAAAGAACAGAACAGAACTCCAGGAAAAGAACTAAGCAAAATGGAGATAAGCAACCTAACAGATGCAGAATTCAAAACACTGCCTATAAGGATGCTCAACGAACTTCATGAGAACTTCAGTAAACTTAGTGAGGGCCTAAAGAGCATAAAAAAGGACCAGTCAGAAATGAAGGAGGCACTAACTGAAATAAAGAATAATTTACAGATTCAATAGTAGAGTAGGTAAAGCCAAGAAGCAAACTATTGATTTGGAATATAAAGAAGCAAAGAACACCCAATCAGAACAGCAAAAAGAGAAAAGAATCCAAAAAAAATGAGGATAGTGTAAGGAGCCTTTGGGACAACTTCATGTGTACCAACATTCCCATCTTGGAAGTGCCAGAAGGAGAAGAGAGAGAACAAGAAATAAAAAACCTATTTGAAACAATAATGACAGAAAACTTCCCTAACTTGGTGAAGGAAACAGACATACATGTTCAGGAAGCACAGAGAGTCCCAAACAAGATGAACCCAAGAGGCCCACACCAAGACACATCATCATCAAAATGCAAAAGGTTCAAGACAAAGAGGGAATCTTAAAAGCAGCAAGAGAAAAGCAGCTAGTTACCTACAAGGGAGTTCCCATAAGACTGTCAGCTGATTTCTCAAAAGAAACTTTGCAGGCCAGAAGGGAGTGGCAAGAAATATTCAGAGTGATGAAAAGCAAAAATCTACAACCAAGATTACTCTATCTTGCAAAGCTCTCATTTAGAATCGATGGCCATATGAAGAGTTTCCCAGACAAGATAAAGCTAAAGGAATTCATCACTACCAAACCATTTTTATATGAAATGTTGAAGGGTCTTCTTGAAGAAAAAGAAGATCAAAAATATGAACAAACAAAATGGCAATGAATACATATCTATCAACAATTGAATCTACAAACAAAATGAACAGGCAGAACAGAAACATTATCATAGATACAGAGAACATTTTGTTGGTTGACAGATGGTAGAGGGGTTGGGGGAATGGGTGAAAAAGGTGAAAGGATTAAGAAGGACAAATTGGTTGTTAGACTGACAAACCTCAAAGGGAAGAGGGTTTGGGGTGGGAAGAAATAAACTGAAAAACTTCAGTGCATATATGCATAACCAATGGACACAGACAACAGTGTGGGGAAAAGCAGGAGGAGGTGGGGAATGGGGAGGAGGGGATCAATAGGGAAAAAAGGAGGAACATCTGTAATATATTCAACAATAAAGATAAGTTAAAAAAAAAAAAAAGAAAACTCAATTTAAACTAGATTTATGTTAAAAAAAATTTATTGGCTAATGTAACTAAAAAGCTAAAGGTATAATATATTTTGGGTAAAGTTGATCCAGCAGCTTAACTGTATCACCAAGGACTCAGTTTCCTTCTGCCTTTTTTATTATTTTCATAATTTTATGGTTTCAGCTCTGTTCTAGTCTAGCTCCTCCCATGGTGTAACACATGCTCAGTAACAATTTGGGCTGTGTGTTTTCTTCATTTGTATCCAGCAGGGGGAGTTTTTCCAATTTTTCAAACTCTAACTCAAAACAAAGTCACAGACTTCATTCTGAATAGACCAGTTTAGGTCATTAGCCCATCCCTGAGTCAATCATTGTTGCAAGGAGGATAGAAATATGTGTACTGGCTTAAACTATTGATGTCTACCCTTGGAGGTAGGAGTGAGGTCATGCTTATGACATGCTCATGTATGTGGAGTCAGTGTAGCCTACAACCTCCATGTACAGGGAATAGAAAAGGAGGTAAGCCATTCCCTTTGCCAAATATCATTAGATAGTATTTGTTTTTCTGTTTCAGTGTTATATTGTTTGTTTTGTTTTGTTTTGTTTTTATCTCATTAGCAAATTGTTTGCAACAGAAAACTATTTGGCAGCTATTAATGCATACAACTTAGCCATAAGACTAAACAGTAAAATTCCACTATTATATCTGAATCGAGCGGCTTGCCACCTGAAATTAAAAAACTTACACAAGGCCATCGAAGATTCTTCTAAGGTATATATATCTATTTATTTGTACATGGTACTTTAAAATTGGTATCCTTCTGCCCTGGCTGGTTTGGCTCAGTGATTACTGCCTCGGCCCGAGGAATGAAGGGTCACAGGTTCGATTCCTGGTCAAGGGCACATACCTGGGTTGCAGGTTTGATCCCTGTGTGGGAGGCAACCAATTGATGTGTCTCTCTCACATCAATGTTTCTCTTTGTCTCGCCCTACCTTCCTCACTTCCACTCTATCTAAAAAATTTTAATGGAAAAATATCCCAGCCCTGGCTGGTTTGGCTCGGCGTTTAGAGCGTCGGCCTGCGGTCCGGAGAGACCTGGGTTCAGTTCCCGCTAAGGGCATGTACCTCCGTTGCAGTTTGTCCCCGACCCTGGTTGGTCGTGCGGGTGGCAGCCACTCGATGTGTCCCTTCACGTCGATGTTTCTCACTCTCTCTCCCTTCTTCTTTCTCCCTCCCATTCTATCTCTACAAAAAATGGAAAAATATCCTCGGGTGAGGATAAAAAAAAAAAAAGAAAAGAAAAGAAAAATATCCTTGGGAGAGGATTAACAAAAAAATGATAAAAAAAAAAAAGAAATTGTTATCCTTGTATTTATTGGTTTAAATAATGCCCTTACTTTTTATGTGTCAAATTTAAATAATTGAGGATTCTTTTTTTAAATCCTCACCCAAGCACATTTTTCCATTTTTTGTTCAGATAGAGTGGGAGGGAAAGAGAGAAAGAGAGAGAGAGAGAGAGAGAGAGAAACATCGACATGAAAGGGACACATCGAGTGGCTGCCACCCGCACGACCCAACCAGGTCTGAGGTACGTGCCCTTAGTGGAAAATGAACCCGGGTCTCTCTGGACTGCAGGCCGATGCTCTAACCGCTGAGCCAAACCGGCCAGGGCTAATTGAGGATTCTTTAAATAATACAGGATTTTAAGAATCATCTTGCTTATTACATCTTTTTTTCTGGAAAAAAAAAAAGATTTTTTTGTATGGACAAGGAACTGGTGTTTCTCAAGACTTCAAGTTAGATTAGAAATCCCCTATTAATTGCTATTAGACTGCCTTGGTATGTCAGTTAAAATCCATATGGAAATGAGTAAATTGTTGTCAGTTTGTGCTCACCCTTTTTCTTATTAAAATTTTGCACACATAATGCAAGGTAGAGGGAAGAACACTTGGTATTGCTACCACTTGCACAGTAAAAGGTTATATCAGTCATTTGTTTTCCCATTTTGAGAGTAACTTGGTATATCCTAATTTTCACTGCTAATATCATGTCATTATCTTTTTATTTATTTATTTATTTATTTATTTATTTATTTATTTATTTATTTTTTTATCCTCACCCGAGGACATTTTTCCATTTTTTGTACAGATAGAGTGGGAGGGAGAGAGAGAGAGAGAGAGAAACATCGATGTGAAAGAGACACATTGAGTGGCTGCCACGGGCACGACCAACCAGGGCCGGGGACAAACTGCAACCGAGGTACATGCCCTTAGCCGGAACCGAACCCGGGTCTCTCCGGACCGCAGGCCAACGCTCTAACCGCTGAGCCAAACTGGCCAGGGCTCTTTTTATTTTTTTAATTCTCACTCGAGGATATATATTTTTTACATTTATCTTGAGACAGAGTGGGAATTAGAGAGAGAGACAGAGAGAGAGAGAAACATCGATGTGAGAGAGACACATTGACTGGTTGCCACCCGCACAACCCCAACCAGGGCCGAGGACAAACCGCAACCCAGGTACGTGTCTTTGGCTGGAATCAAACCCTGGGTCTATTTGGTCTGTGGGCTGACACTCCAACTGCTGAGCCAAACTGGCCAGGGCTCATTATCTTTTCAAAAAAATTTTTGTCTTTATTGATTTTAGAGATAGAGGGAGAGAGATAGAAACATCCATGAGAGAGAACATCAATTGGCTACCTCCTGCATGCCCCCCACTGGGGATCAGGCCCACAACCTGGGCATGTGCCCTGACTGGGAATCGAACCAGCGACCTCTTGGTGCATGGGTCGATGCTCAACCAGTGAGCCACACAGGCCGGCCTCATGTCATTATCTTTAACTGCTAGCATTTTCTTTTTTTCACATCAGAGTAACTTCTTTTAAGGGAAAATCACATGTAAAATCTCTTATGTGGCTCCTTGAGATTGAGGATATGGAGGAAACAACCGAGTCCTCATACTTTGATCTCATTAAGCTACTGCACATCTGACAATATTTTTATCTAGTTTTCCATTTAGTAGTACAATTTTGTGCATCAACAAATACTTGTTGAATAAATGAATAAACAGAATAATCTAATTTGAATATAAAAACCACAAGTGTTATTTAATCATTCTTGCTAGTAAAGCTAAGGCTTTAGAGGTTTTATTTTATTTTATTTTATTTTATTTTATTTATTTATTTTTTTTAATCCTCACCTGAGGACATTTCTCCATTTTTTGTACAGATAGAGTGGGAGGGAGAGAGAGGAAGAGAAAGAGAGAAACATCGATGTGAAAGGGACACATCGAGTGGCTGCCACCCGCACAACCAACCAGGGCCGGGGACAAACTGCAACCGAAGTACGTGCCCTTAGCGGGAACCGAACCCGGGTCTCTCCGGACCGCAGGCCGACGCTCTAACCGCTGAGCCAAACCGGCCAGGGCAAGAGGTTTTAAATGATAAACCAAATCATAACTTTGGGGGAGAGGGGATGAATCTCATATGGGAACAATTGAACAGTTCCTTAAATTGTTCAATATAAATATATATATTTAATAAATTCCTCTGCTAACTAAGCCAAAAGTTTAGGTGGGTGAAGATTTGAGGCCTGTTATTTTTTTATTATTGTTATATTTTTTTTAATCCTCACTTGAGGACATTTTTTCATTTTTTTGTTCAGATAGAGTGGGAGGGAGGGAGAGGGAGAGAGAGAGAGAGAGAGAGAGAAACATCTACATGAAAGGGACACATCGAGTGGCTGCCACCCGCATGACCCAACCAGGGCCGGGGACAAACTGCAACCGAGGTACATGCCCTTAGTGGGAACCGAACCTGGGTCTCTGGACCGCAGGCCAACGCTCTAATCGCTGAGCCAAACCGGCCAGGGCTTGATGTCTTTTTTAAAGTTAAAGTTTTTACCATGGTTTTGCTCAGGTTTAAATTAGAAAGTTACATCTTTCCCTTATTATTATTATTATTTTTTGATAAGGCACTAGAATTATTGACACCACCTGTTGCAGACAATGCTAATGCAAGAATGAAGGCACATGTACGACGTGGAACAGCATTCTGTCAACTAGAATTGTATATAGAAGGTAAGAAAATGGTAGAAATGTTTTAAGTTTCAAATTATACTCTGAAAAAAATGTCATTGGGGTTAAGATCACAGTTTTGTAGGGCTCCATTACTATATATATATATATATATTTTTATCCTCACCCGAGGATATTTTTCCATTTTTTTGTACAGATAGAGTGGGAGGGAGAGAGACGAAGGGAGAGAGAGAGAGAAACATCGAAGTGAAGGGACACATCGAGTGGCTGCCACCCGCACGACCAACCAGTGCCGGGGACAAACTGCAACCGAAGTACGTGCCCTTAGCGGGAACCGAACCCGGGTCTCTCCGGACCACAGGCCGACGCTCTAACCGCTGAGCCAAACTGGCCAGGGCTATTTTATATTTTTTAATCACTTAATTTATTCTTTGTAACTTACCTGACAAAAAATGATTTTGAAATATTAAAAAAATTGATTGTTACAGGAGGGAGTTAGAATAAGATGTGAACAAGTTTAGATCTAGGAAATGCTGTGGTATCAACTTTTCTTTTCTTTTTTTTAATTCTCACCCGAGGACATCCTTCCATTTTTTTGTTCAGACAGAGTGGGAGGGAGAGAGAGGAAGAGAAAAAGAGAGAAACATTGACGTGAAAGGGACACATCGAGTGGCTGCCACCCGCACGACCAACCAGGACCAGGGACAAACTGTAACCAAGGTACGCGCCCTTAGCGGGAACCGAACCAGGGTCTCTCTGGACCACAGGCTGATGCTCTAACCGCTGAGCCAAACCGGCCAGGGCAGTATCAACTTTCCCATGAAAAGATATGTGATAAAGGATATAAATGAATTGCTTATGATCTAATGGAAAGTTTATTTTATTTTTTTTCTAATGAAAAAAAATTTTTTTTCATCCTCACCGGAGGAAATTTTTCCATATTTTGTTCAGATAGAGTGGGAGGGAGGGAGGGGGAGAGAGAGAGAGAGAGAGAGAGAGAGAGAGAGAGAGAGAGAGAGAGAAACATCGACGTGAAAGGGACACATCGAGTGGTTGCCACTGGCACGACCCAACCAGGGCCGGGGACAAACTGCAACCGAGGTACGTGCCCTTAGAGGGAACCGAACCTGGGTCTCTCCAGACCGCAGGCCAACGCTCTAACCGCTGAGCCAAACCGGGCAAGACTTGTTATACATTTTTAATGTATTTAGGGGCTGTGTGTGGTTAGCTACTCATGTTGTCCCAAAGGCAAAATGTTGTAGTTGCCAGAGTCTCATCTTCACCGCTGCTTTTCCCATACCTCCCTCCCAGGTGCCTATTTAGCTTCCCTTCATTCAAGACCTAATGGGCTCTAGCCTTTAAAAGTTTTATTATTTTCAACTTCATGTTTAAACTTGTTTCTGCCATTTTTAGGAGATTTTTCTAACTAAAGCATCTAAATTAGGTTTATGTACCCAATTCTTTTTTTTTTTTAGTGTCTTATCTGGCTTCATGAGGATAAAAAATATCAATACAGGAATGAAACATTGTAAAACTATCTTTAAAAACTATAATAGCATCAGACTCTTTTGAGCTAAAGGTGAGAAAATGCAGAATTGGGAAATTTAAGTGATATGCCTGCAGTGGCATGGCAATCAGTAGCACTTAGAACCCAAGTTTTCTGCCTCCCAAAGAAATTCTTCCCACTGTTTTATTGGTAAAGATTTAGATTCAGTTATACATTTTTACCAACCCATCCACAGTGCTTTCTTTTTTTTTTTTTATCCTCACCTGAGGACATTTTTCGATATTTTGTTCAGATAGAGTGGGAGGGAAAGAGAGAGAGAGAAACATCGATGTGAAAGGGACACATCGAGTGGTTGCCACCCACACGACCCAACCAGGGCCAGGGACAAACTGCAACCAAGGTATGTGCCCTTAGCAGGAACCGAACCCAGGTCTCTCTGGACTGCAGGCCAACGCTCTAACCGCTGGGCCAAACCGGCCAGGGCACATAACACTTTCTTTCTTAACCAATTTTCCTCAAAGGAATTCTGTAGATATGACAACTATAGAAAAAAACCACAAACTATTGTTTATGAATTATATAGAGTATGGATTTAGTCTACCAAAAGTATTTTAAAAAATCTAGAGTTTTTAAATAAGATGCCATTTACCACTTTTCTTAAAAATCTTCAACCCAAGGATATATTATTTTATTGATTTTAGAGGGAGGGGGAGAGAGAGAGAGAATTATTGATCAGTTGCTTCCCATACAGGCCCCAACCAGGGATGGAACCTGCAACCTATGTATGGACCCTGACTGGAAATTAAACCTGAAACTGAGCCACCCATTCAGGGCTCATATTTTTAATTGATTTTTGAGATAGAGAAAGAGAAAGGGAGAGAAAGAGAAACATCGATTTCTTGTTCCACTTACTTATGTATTCATTGGTTAATTTTTTTTTTTTTTAATCCTCACCAGAGGACATTTTTCCATTTTTTTGTTCAGATAGAGTGGGAGGGAGAGAGAGGAAGAGAGAGAGAGAGAAACATTGACATGAAAGGGACACTTCGAGTGGCTGCCACCCGCACAACCCAACCAGGGCCAGGGACAAACTGCAACTGAGGCACATGCCCTTAGTGGGAACCGAACCCAGGTCTCTTGGGACCACAGGCTGATGCTCTAACCACTGAGCCAAAGCGGCCAGGGCTTCATTGATTAAATCTTTCATGTGCCTTGACTGGGTTCGAATCTGTAACCTTGGCTTATTGGGATGACACTCTAACCAACTGAACTACCTGGCCAGGGCCCATTTATTACTTTTTTGTTTTTTCTTTTTTGTTAATCCTCACCCGAGGATAATTTTCCACTGAGTTTTAGAAAGAGTGGAAGGGAGGGAAGGAGAGAGAGAAAAACATACATGTGTGATTGGTTGCCTCCCACATAACCCCAATGGGGCCCGAGGATCAAACCTGCAACTTAGGTACATGCCCTTGACCAGAATCGAACTTACGACCCCTCGGTTCGAGGGCTGATGCTCTAATCACTGAGTCAAACCAGCTAGGGCCCATTTATTACATTTTATACTGAGGTGATAAAAATGTCCTTTCATTATATGAGTTTAAGTGATTCTGTTCATGCCTTAATGCATTTAAGCTCTTACCTTATTTGTTCTTGAATTTAAAATAACTGCTTCATGCCCTGGCCGGTGAGGCTCAGTTGGTTGAGTGTTGTCCTGTGTAACAAAAGGTCACTGATTCAATTCATGGACAGGGCACATGCCCAGGTTTTGGGCTCGATCCCCGGTCAGTGTGCCTTCGGGAGGCAACTGATTGATGTGTGTCCCCCCTCCTGTCTCTTTCCTGTCCTCAAAACAAAAATCAAAACATAAAGTAACTGCTTCTTTTTAAATTAAATTTTATTAATATAATGTAAGAAAATAAATAAATTACTGCTTCTTGCCTGCTCTCTCCTCTGTGTAGAATGGGACAGTCGCCGCGTGGCTAATAAAGCTCTCTTAAAAAAAAAAAAAATTACTGCTTCTTACTGAATCCGGAATGAACTCATTATACTTACTCCTGAAATCACTGAAAAATTTTTGCAGTCTGTTAGAGATACTGCCATGTGTGTAAAGATGGGAATCTGATTTAAAGCTCAGTGCTGGTCCTGAACCATGTTCTTAGTGATTATTTTATTAAAAAAAATATATATATTGTCTAGTCCTGGCCAGTTTGGCTCAGTGGTTGAGCGTCGGCCTGTGGACCAGAGAGTCCCACTAGGTTCCTGCTAGGGGCATGTACCACACTAAATAAATAAATAAATAAATAAATAGTCTAAAAACACAAATATTTATAGAGTATTTTATTGGACATTATTGCTATGTAAATATAGGCCTACAGGATTATGAAGCTGCACTTAAGATTGATCCAGCCAACAAAATTGTACAAAATGATGCTGAGAAGATTCGGAATATAATTCAAGGAACAGAACTAAAATCTTAATGACTACTAGAAGCAACTAGGTATTGTATTGACTTTTGTTTAAACTTTTTCCAAAATAACTGGAGGCATTGGGAATCTTTATACATATTATGGCTAATTGTACAGAATCACTTTATTTTAGTGCTCTAGTTTTATAGAGGAAAAATATTATAAATCTATGGTAAATAATATGAGTGAATGGTTTCTGATTAAGTAAATCAAAATAAGAATGATCTATTTTAGCCCTAGCCAGTGTGGTCCAGTGGTTGGAGTTTTGGCCATGCATCAAAGGGTCATCTTGGGTTTGATTCCCAGTCAAGGGTGAGTACCTGGGTCAGGTTCGATCCCTGGCCCAATTGGGTCGAATGCAGGAGGCAACAAATTGATGTGTCTACATTGATGTCTCTCTCTCTCCCTCTCTCTTTTTCTCTCACTCTCTCTCTCCCCCCCTCCCTCCCTCCTTTCCACTCTCTCTAAAAATCAATGGAAAAAGATCCTTGGGTGAGGATTAACAAAAACAAACAAACAAATAAATAATAAAGAATAATCTATTTTATGGGAGAGCATAAATGCCAATGATACATCAGATAAGGGGTTAATTTCCAATATATAGAGTGCTCATACAGTTCAACAAAAGGAAGACAAAGAACCCAATTTAAAAATGGGCAGAGGAACTAAATAGACACCTCTCCAAACAGGACATACAAATGGCTAAGAGACATGAAGAAATGCTCAACATCACTAATCATCAGAGAGATGCAAATTAAAACAACAATGAGGTATCACCTCACACCTGTCAGAATGGCCGCCATCAACAAATCATCAAACAACAAGTGTCAGCAAGGGTGTGGAGAAAAGGGGATTCTAGTACACTGCTGGTGGGAATGCAGACTGGTGCAGCCACTATGGAAAACAATATAGTGTTACTACAAAAAATTAAAAATTGAACTGCCATTTGACCCAGTGATCCCACTTCTAGGAATAAACCCTAAGAAGCCTGAAACACCAATCAGAAAGAATATATGTATCCCCATGTTCATAGCAGCACTATTTACAATTGCTAAGATCTGGAAACAGCTCAAATGTCCATCAGTAGACGAATGGATAAAAAAGTGGTGGTACATATACGATGGAGTGCTATGCAGCTGTAAGAAAGAAAGATCTCTTATCCTTTGAGATGACATGGAGGGACCTGAAAGTATTATCCTAAGTGAAAAAAGCCAAGCAGAGAAAGACAAATATCACATGATCTCACTTATTTGTGGAGTATAATGAACATAACAGTCTGAGGAACGGGGTAGTCCCAGAGACGTGGAAGTGGGGTACAGATTAACAATCCCCAGAAGAGGGGGCGGGGGGGGAAGAGATAAACCACAGAACTTATATGCATGTATGCATGAACAATGGACATGGACAACAAAGCTGGGGACAGGATGGGGAGGGTGGGGGAGGGGGTATCAGTGGGGGGAAAACGAGAAACATTTGTAACAAAAATAAATAATTAATTTTATAAAATAGAAAAAAAGGAATAATTTATTTTAATTCTTTGCCTCTTTATATTAATATTTTTTTCCTATATATTTTTTTAATCCTCACCCCAGGATATTTTTCTATTTATCCTAAGGTAAGTGGGAGGGAGAGAGAGGGAGAGAAAGGGAGAGAGAGAGAAACATTGATGTGAGAGGGACACATCCACTGGTTGTCTCCTTCACTACCTTGACCAGGACTGGGGACAGACTGAAACTGAGGTATGTGCCCTTGGCCAGAATTGAACTGGTGACTCATTGGTCCGTGGGCCGATGCTCTACCGCTGAGCCATTCCAGCCAGGGCATATAAATATAAATATATGTATATTTTTTTATCCTCACCTGAGGACATTTTTCCATTTTTTGTTCAGGTAGAGTGGGAGGGAGAGAGAGGGAAACATCGATGTGAAAGGGACACATTGAGTGGCTGCCACCCGCACGACCAACCAGGGCCGGGGACAAACTGTAACCAAAGTACATGCCCTTAGCGGGAACCGAACCCGGGTCTCTCTGGACCGCAGACCGACATTCTACCTGCTGAGCCAGGGCTATATATTTTAATTATATATTTTTGTTAGGGAATTTCGCTTTCCCTTATAGGTAATAAAATATTTGTTAGTATGATGATTACCAGGACACTTAGTGATTAATTTTTAACAAGGTAAAATTTTATTTATTTATTAAAAACAAATTTTTTTTAATTCTCACCCAAGGATATTTTTCCATTTATCTTCAGATAGAGTGGGAGGGAGGGCCTGAGGGAGAGAGAAAGAAACACTTGACCCTAACCAGGGCTGGGGACGAACTGCAACTGAGTATGTGCCCTTGACCTGAATCAGACCCACAACTCATTGGTCCACAAGCCTATGCGTTTATAAAGTATTTTTGTCTGTACCATATTAAATATGCTATTTTGTTGTTGTTCATTCTCACCTGAGGATATTTTTCCATCGATTTTTAGATAGAGTGTAAGGGAAGGAGAAAGGGACAGAGAGAAACAGCAATATGAGAGAGAGACACATGGATTGGTTGCCTCCCGAATGACCCTGACCTTGGTGGGTATCAAACCTGCAACCCAGGTATGTGCCCTTGATGGGGAATTGAACCCATGACCTTTTGGTTTGCAGGCCAATGCTCTAACCACGGAGAAAAACCAGCCAGGGATAAATATTCTATTTAATTGTCTGAATGGTTGATCTTGGTGTGATCAGTACTAACGTTTTCACATAGTTTCCAATTGCAGAACCTTATTTTTTTCTTTGTTATGTGTCCACCACCTATTGTTTGAAGTTAGATCAGATCAACCTAGTAAAACAGCTGTTTGGAAACCCTTATATTCAACTTCAAACACTGTATTGTGAAGATATGTTTTCTAGTACCTTGAAGTACACCAGGAAAAAAAAAGACAGCAAGAGGTAAAATGTTAACTGAGAGTGTTATGTTATTGGCATTGGATTGCAGCACTGTTTGTGTTGTATGAATGTATGATGCAAGCACTGAGCAACAACAGTACAGCTTCCCTTTGCATACAGTAGCTGTCACAAGTGCCTGATTATATTTAGATGATTTTTAGGAAAACAAAACTAGGAAAAAATTTTACAGTATTTGATCATCTGATGTCATTCAAGTCGATTATAAAACAGCCTTGTTCTTTTTTATTTCCACACAGGAGTATCCTAGCTCAGCAACCCTGAAACTTTTACTTCTATGAAGCAACTTTCAACAACTTCTGTAGCCGTCCTGTCCAGTTATCAAACCTTCTGATGTGACAGTGTTGTTTGTTTCTTACAACCAACCCTGCTTTGTTTGTTTGTTTGCTTGTTTGTGTTTTTAAAAATAAATGTAAGCAAAATAAAGGTAGGTCTTCTTGTGTGTCAGATATTTGTTTGACATTCAGCCTAGTTTTTCCTCAGGCTTTTCCTATAACCATCCCAATCAGAAAACAAAAGAGTACCCATTAGCTTGGAGGAGGTAAAAGGGAGTCTTCAGTAGTTTATTATTATATTTTGTTAATTAAAAATTTAAATTTATTGATTGATTTTAGGGGGGGGCATTTGATTTGTTATTCCACTTATTAATGCATTGATTGGTTGCTTCTTGTATGTGTCCTGACCTGCAACTTTGGTTTATTGGGATGATGCTCTAACCACCTGTGCTTCCTGGCCAAGGGCCATTATTTATTAATATTTTTGACCCTATCCTCTAAATAAAGTCTTGGTTTAAATGCAACAGGTACTCATTTGTATTCATGAAATATTTTACCTCTATTGAACAATTTCCTATGGTTTCCAAGGGACTTTTGTCTTATATGGACATGGTGGGTAATAGAGCTAAATTAGTGATGAACATTTCCTTTATGATTAAAAGCATGCATCCCAAATAATAGTGCTATCATTAAAGCCTATGAATAAAAGATAAGCCCTGGCCAGTTTGGCTCAGCCGTTAGAGAGTTGGCTTGCAGTCCGGAGAGACCTGGGCTCGGTTTCTGCTAAGGGCACGTACCTCAGTTGCAGTTTGTCCCTGGCCCTGGTTGGGTCGTGTGGGTGGCAACCACTCGATGTGTCCCTTTCACGTTGATGTTTCTCTCTCTCTCTCCCTCCCACTCTGTCTGAACAAAATATGGAAAAATGTCCTCGGGTGAGAATAAAAAAAAAAAGATAAGAAAACATTGTCATGGTAGTCTATTATATTTTTAAGTTTTGTGACAGATTTGATTATGAGCAAATTACCACAGCTATATAAAAATATTGCATGTCCAGGAAAGATCACTAGTCAGCCCATTTTTGCAATGGATGTTTCACAGGAATAGGAAATAATTTTGTTTTTTAATCCTCACCCAAGAATATTTTTCTATGTATCTTCAGATAGAGTGGGAGGGAGAGAAAGGGAGAGAGAGAGTGTAAGAACGAGGCGGAACGAGGCGGGGCGGGGTCTCCAGAAGTGCAGGTTTATTGGGAAATAGCCTGCCAGACTACCCCTAAGGAGAGAGGAGCAACCGGCTTGTACAGACTGGGGATTTTTAAACTCAGGGCTGGGGGGCGGGGGCGGGGGGGGCGTTCAGCTGAGGAGACGTAGTTGTCTTTGATTGGTCAGGCCCGGGGTCTCCCAAGTTCTTAATTGGTTGGGGGCTGGGGTCTCCTGAAACTTATTTTTCTTGTGGAGCTACTGTTTGCAGTTTTGGGTGGGTTAGGGTGGTTCCATCATTCCTTTCCTCGTGACTGGTTTTAGTTTTCTGGAATGAAAGGCTTAGGAAAGGTTAACCGATAAGAGTGATGGGTTTTGGTTTCTTGGAATGAGAGGTTTAGGGCAATAATATGGAAGTTAAGAGCTAACAGAGAGAAACATCAAAGTGAGAGGGACACATCAACTAGTTGCCTCCCTCACGACCTCAACCGGAGCCGGGGATGAACCGCAACCCAGGCACATGCCCTTGACCGGAATTGAACCTGAGACTCATTGATCCACGGGCTGACACTCTAACCGCTGAGCCAAACAGGTCAGGGCAGAAAAGAACTAGATTATGGTATTACATAGAGAGCCCAGAGGAGCTTGTTTAGAGTTTGGTCAAGGAGAAACCACTTGTCCCTGGCAAGTGTGCAGGAGGAAGAAACTTTCCTCTAGCCTCATGGTTCTTTTGGCTGGTCCAATAATCAAATAGACATGAGACAGATTAGCAAGAGAAAAGAACCAAATTTAATATATACCTGTGTTTGGGAACCCCACATACATGAGGTAGTCCGAGACCCCACATGCAGGAGAGGTTCAGAGATAGAGGAGATTGAGGTATGGAAGACATTCTGAGCCAGGGATATGTAAGGTGTCTTGGAGCTTCAAAGGATCATTGCAGGATGATAAGAAGAGCAGATGTTTAGTACTAAAAGCTTATTCCGCCCTACAGATAGGTCAAAAAAGGTTATCTCTGACAATTTATTATGGGCAAGGCCCCACATTCAAATTCCTCCAGGTAGTTAAGTGAGGGCAGAAGTTTCTTTTGAGACCAAGGCTAAAGTTGCCTTTAGCTCAAAATGTTACTGGAAAGAAGACATGGGTTTGCCTAGGGCCAGCTGGTAGTGTGTGGGTTCTTGACTTCCATGTAGGGAAAGTTTCACAGCATGAGTCCAGGTGAATTTTAGAGGACATTTATTAAAGTTGGGGACAGTGAAACAAGGAAGGGTTGGGGAAATGGGCCTAGGCTGGTCTGCTTTGGCTCACTAAGAAGTCAGGAAAGGGAGTACTGGGGACAGGGATGGGGCTTTGCCTGGGATGAACTGTCATTGCCCATTGCTACCCTGGTTGCAAACTGTGTGGGGTCCCTTTAGAGTTTAGGAGGTACATGCCTGTGGGGAAAGAAAGTTGCGGGCTCCAGGGCACGGTGTGCTCCTGGGAGGGAGAGTGTGCTGGACCTTTGTTTTGAGGGGTTTTAAAAGATGGGTGTTCGGCCAGTGTGGCTCAGTGGTTGAGCATTGACCCATGCACCAAGAGGTTGCTGGTTCGATTCCCAGTCAGGGCACATGCCCAGGTTGTGGGCCAAATCCCCAGTGGGGGGCATGCAGGAGGCAGCCAATCAATGTTCTCTTTCATTGATTTTTCTCTCTCTCCCTCTCTCTCTAAAATCAACAACAACAACAAAATAAATAAATAAAGGCTGGGTGTTTAAGGGAGGATCTCAATAGAATATTCATCAGCTTTATACTGATGTACCAAAATGAGGTTTATTCCCTTAACTTCATCTGTCCTTAGGTGTGGTCGGCAAATAGCTCTAATTGGATCAATGCTATCTGTTGAAAGGTCAGCCAAAGAAGGAACACACCTGGATTCAGGCAAGAGAACTTTACTGGGGAGTTTACCTGAGGGGCTGACTCCTAAGGTGGAGTCAGCGCCAGTATCTCTAACAGGCAGGGTTATATAGGGGGAATGGATGAGGGGCTGGCAGCCCTTAGAGGGAGTGGACAATGTGATTTGGCTTCCTGCGTAGGTATAATCGCAAGGAGACCAACGGGGGTCTCCACTCCCAGGGTGATTTAACCTGGATACCTGGGGTAGTGTTCTAGAACATCCTGTTTCTCAGAATTCTTTTTATATATCAAGGGAGGAGGGAGTTGGAGACCTTGGCTGCAACCCAATCTGTCTTCCTGAGTAGTGTGATTTAAGCTATTTACCTCTGGTTGGAGAGAAGTATAAACCATTTACTCTTAAGTGTCCCTGGTTTAGGGAAGATAAGATTTACTGGATGGCTGCAAACTGATGTTTATCTATCTCAGTTTCCCTATTCTGCTGTTCAGGCTTAGTAGCCTGTATCATCATGAGTTTGGTTTTTGTGGTGGCAGGCTGCTGACCCGTGGTTTTGGTTACAACAGCTGATTTTCCCCAGATAGTCCCTTCACTTCCTTCAAGGCTGTGGTCAAACACCTTATCAGAGACCCCTGACTAACCTACCTAAAATAACTCCTTGCCAGAGGACTCCCTTCCCACTAACCCCATTTTCCCCCCATAAGACTAATCACTTGGCATGTTTCATACATATAGGCATATATATTTACATGTAATATATATGTACATAATATATAATGTGCATAAATGTTATATAAACCTACTTACATGTAAATATACATGTATATATGTATAATTTATAAAACATTTGCCTATATGTATACAAATAAATGTTTAACATGTGTGTGTGATACTTACATTATATATGTATAAATATATATACATGCTCATACATGTTTTTTGGTCTGTTTTTCTCTACTAGGACTTACTAGAATGTAAACTCCATGAAGGCAGGTTCTTAGTGCCTAGAGTAGTACCTAGACTTTAATAGGCTGTGAATGACTACGTAATGGCATTCCAGGCAATATGCTCAATTTCAAGATATTCATCTTATCTGAGAATTTTAGCAATAACAACCTAAGGCCTAACTCTGGTCATAGTAAGGAACATTAGTCTAATATCTTGATATCACATATTCAAAAGTTGACTCCACCAAGCTGGTGTGGCTCAGTGGTTGAGTGTTGACCCATGCACCAAGAGGTCACTGGTTCAATTCCCAGTCAGGGCACATGCCCACGTTGTGCGCCTGATGTGCAGTGGGAGGCACGCAGGAGGCGGCCAATTGATGTTCTCTCTCATCAATGTTTCTATCTCTTTTTCCCTCTCCCTTCATGTCTCTCTAAAAATCAATAAAGAAAAAAAATTTAAAAAAGTTGACTCCACTTGCCACAAATTGAGAACCTATTGGCCACCTCCTGCATGATCCCTACTGGGGATCAGACCCACAATGTGGGCATGTGTCCTGACCAGGAATTGAACTGTTGACCTCTTGGTGCATGGATCAACGCTCAACCACTGAGTCACACCAGCCTGGCTCTAAAATGAATTTTTAAAAATTAAAAAAAAAGCCCTGGCCGGTTTGGCTCAGCGGTTAGAGCGTCGGCCTGCGGTCCGGAGAGACCCGGGTTCGGTTCCCGCTAAGGGCACGTACCTCGGTTGCAGCTTGTCCCCGGCCCTGGTTGGTCGTGCGGGTGGCAGCCACTCGATGTGTCCCTTCACGTCGATGTTTCTCTCTCTCTCTCTCTCCCTCCCACTCTATCTGTACAAAAAATGGAAAAATAGCCTCGGGTGAGGATAAAAAAAAAAAAAAAAAAGCCAGTTTGGCTCAGCGGTTATAGTGTCGGCCCGCGGACCAGTGAGTCGCAGGTATGATTCTGGTCACGGGCACATACCTTGGTTGCAGTTCACCCTGGCCCTGATTGGGTTGTGCAGGAGGCAACCAGTCAATGTGGCTCTATCACATGGATGTTTCTCTCTGTCTCTGTCTCTCTCTCTCTCACTCTATCTGATGATAAATGGAAAAACTATCCTCGGGTGAGGAATAATAAAAAAAAAAAAAGTTCTCTCTTCTACGAGCCTAGCAGAGGGAACTAACATTTCTCCAGGTCCTAAGCCATTACTTGAAATAACATAAAAGTGGGAAATTACTGGTCAGAATCTTCCTTAATTCAATTTTTTTCTTAGAGCTCCCATGCTCCTTTGTCTTGATAAATATACTCAGTAGACAACTGATATCAGGAAAGTTTTTTGAAGCTTGTGGAGTACATGTACTAAATAAAGCTAGGATGCACAAAAATGCTTCTGCCTTTCATAATGCTATTCTGAGCACCTTTTTATTTAAGAAGTCAATGTCACTCAGTTATCACTTGAAATTATTTATTTCTTAACAGTATTTTTAAAAAAAATTAAATCTTTCAATATTCCAAATTAGGTATTCTAGCCTTAGACTTAAAACTCATTTTTTTTTCTGAGTATGTTTTCTCTTAAATATATAAAGAAATATATTTTCATAGAGTGCGCTGAAAATTAGGAAAATCAAGGGTTCTGGTTCTGTCAGCTGCAGTGTTTAGAGTGTTATTTTGATAAAATCCTGTAGCTCTGATATGACTTGAAAATGCTTGCCCCTTTGGAGTATAGATGCAGGGGAAAAACTGTGGCATAGGTAAAAATTCACCATAAGCACTTGAATTGGTTTTATACATAATCATCTTCGGTTCTGATAGTGAGGTAGCTGTACGGAGCGTCTTTGGATCCATCATGCATGAAAACACAGGATTGCCGGCGTTCACACAAGTAGGCAGTTGTTCAGGTTTCATTTCTGTGTCTGAATTTGAAGCTGAAGTACTTTCCTTATCCTAAAATATATACATATCAAATCATTCTCAGTTATAAAGTTCTGGGGGAAACCCCACACAAACTATTAAACTTAGCCCCAGTCCTATTTAATACCACTCACAAAAATTAACTGGAAATGAAGACTTAAATGTAAGACCTGAGCCCTGGACGGTTTGCTCAGTGGATAGAGCATCGGCCTGCAGACCAATGAGTCTCGGGTTCGATTCCTGTGAAGGGTATGTACCTCGGTTGAGATTCATCCTTGGCCCTGGTTGGGGTCGTGTGGGAGGCAGCTACTTGATGTGTCCCTTTCACGTCGATGTTTCTCTCTCCCTCCCACTCTATCTGAACAAAAGTGCAAAAGTGTCCTCAGGTGAGGATAAGAAAAAAAAAAACCTAAGACCTGAAATTACAAAAATCATAGAAAAAAGTAGGGGAAAAGCTCCTAAATATTAGTCGTGGCAACAATTTTTTGGATATGACACCAAAAGCACATGCAAAAATAAACAAGTGGGATTACATCAAACCAAAAAGTTTGTGCACAACAAAGGAAACCATCAGCAGAATGAGACAACATACAGAATGGGAGAAAATGTTGAAAATGTCTGCAAATCATACATCAGATAAGAGGTTAACATTAAAAATATACAAAGAGCCTGGCCAGTGTGGCACAGTGGATTGAGCATCGTTCCATGGACTGAGAGGTCCTGGTTCGATTCCCGGTTAGGGCACATGCCCGGTTGTGGGCTCGATCCCCAGTAGGGGGTGTGCAGAAGGCAGTCGATTGATGTTTCTCTGTTTCTATCTTTCTCTCCCTTCCTCTCTCTCTCTAAAAAAATCAATAAAAACATATTAAAAAATATATATATAAGGAACCCATATAACTCAAAAGCAAAAAAAACAAATCAAGCAATCTGATTAAAAAATGGGCAGAGGACCTGAAGACATACAAATGGCCAACAGATACATGAAAAGGTGTTCTACATCACTAATCATAAGGGAAATGGAAATCAAACCACAATGAGATATCATCTCATACCTGTTAGAACTGCTATTAAAAAGTCCAGAGATAGTAAGTGTTGGCCAGGATGTGAAGGAAGGGAACCCTTGTGCACTGTTGGTTAGAATGTAAATTGTGGCTTTGGCAGAGTACCTTACTTGGTTAGAGGATCATCCCAATATGCCAAAGTTGTGGGTTCCATCCCCAGTCAGGCCACATACACGAATCAACCAATGAATGCATAAATAAGTGGAACAAAAAATTTATGTTTCTTCCTCTAAAAGCAATAAATAAAAATTAAGAAAAAAAAGAATGTAAATTGGTGCAGCCACTGTGGAAAACATGATGGAGGTTCCTCAAAATATTAAAAGTAAGACTACCATATGAGTCAGCAATTCCAGTCCTGGATAAATATCCAAAAGAAACAGCCTGGCCGGTGTGTGCTGTTTCTCATCCTGCTGGGATCCGTGCAACTCAATGAATCTACAAGCAGATGCTGCTAGGAGTGAGGGGGAGCTTTGCAAGGTAGCAAATGCCTGGACGCAGTCCCATTTATTTGCAGATTGGTACCCCCAGGTCACAAGTGGATTTAAGTAAATTATTTCCTTGAGATGGCCTCTCTGCAAACCATACAGTTTAGCTTTGTCTCTTGCTTTTTATGAGAAGAGACCTTGAAACTAAAAGATACAGATCCTTATTCACATGCAAATGAAGTACATAACACACCTGGGCCCAGGATTCCCAGAATGCATTAACACAAGGTTGAAAGTGCTTAACACAAGGTTAAAAAACGTCCATCTTCCAACCCCCCAACCCCACAGGTGTGGCCCAGTGGTTGAGCGTCAAACAATGCACCAAGAGGTCACTGGTTCTGTTCCTGGTCAGCACATGCGCGGTTTGTGGGCCAAATCCCCAGTGGGGGGCATGTAGGAGGTGGCCAATAGATGTTCTCTCTCATCTATGTTTCTATCTCTCCCTCTTCTTTCCTCTCTCTCTTTCTCAAATCAATACAGAAAAAAAAATAGATAAAACTAACAAAAAATTTGGCAACTTCCAGAATACTTAAGATCTACCTTCCAGATCAGAAATTGTATCTAAAAAACTTCATAATGGTGGTTAGGGTACTACTGTAACTCTGACTTTCTCAGGTTGAGTAAGTAGATTGTTTATATGTATTGAAGTTTTTTCTTTGAAGATACTATAGCAGATTGTGATTCATGAAGCTGAGACCCTTTAAGATTTCTAAATCCTTACAATTTAGCAAGCATAATCTCAGTTTCTCCAATTCTAAAATGGAGCTAAAAATGTTTATAAAGCTGTTCTGCCGGGCTAAAATGAGGACAAAGCCTTTTTGAGTTTCAAATTTGGGTCAGATTACTTAGGTTCCTCTTTTTTAAAATATGTTTTCATTGATTTCAGAGAGAGGAAGGGAGAGAGAGCGAGAAACTTCAATTGGCCGCCTCCTGCACACCCCCAACTAGGGAGTGAGTCCGAAATCTGGGAATCAAACCAGAGACCTCCTGGTTCATAGGTCGATGCTGAACCCCTGAGCCATACAGGCTGGGCAAGTTAGGTTCCTCTTTAGTGCAACCCAGCTCACCTTGAATTCCTGGGTTATTCTACTTAATGTCTCAGCAAAGTCCAATTTCCCAATATTTGTTGTGAAAGCTTGAGTTCAAATCTGCAAATGTATTTAGTACACTTTTTCTTTCTTTTTCTTTGTTCAGATTTAAATGATTATAAACCTATGTTCCAAACCGTCATCATAATTTCCCTTTGCATATCATATGTAAAATTGGTTTTAAAAAATGTGCCACAGTCCCCTTGCTTGTGGAGATAAGTGGAAAGAAAACTCATTGTAAAGGTAAATTGCTATATAAATGGAATACTTTTTTTCACCTTTTTCTTTTTTGCACATTTACCTCAATGCTTTTGTAAGCTCTTCCAGAATTCAGTTCTGAAATTTACAGGTTAATAACACTACATTAGTATACTACAGTTTACTATACTTATTTAATACTCATATATCTTGTAGGAAGCTGGTAAAACTGGAAGTAGAACTCATCAGATCTTGCTATGTATTCTTTTTGATACTGCCTATTAATTTTTTTAAATATCAAGAGCACATAATAGTAAGTCCCCAGAATTCTATAGTGTATCAACAGTACAGTTTTTCTCAAAATGTCTCAGTACCCTCTGCAGAGAAAGCTTCTTAGGTGGAAGGTGGCTGCCCTGTGATTTGTGGAAAAAAGTACCAACTCTAATTTACTTTATGGGCACCCAGTCAGATTGCCCAGGGCAACCTCAGAGTACTGCCTTTCATCAAATTACCCTCTATGGCTCTAAAATTCTGATCAGCTTTGATGCAAACTGTAATACAGAAAACCAAATCCAGTCAAAATATGTAGACAATAAATTAGCTGATAAACTTTGTTGGTATAATTTATACCACACAATCTGGAAATTATTATCTACCTAAATCTTTTAGATCTCCAGGATAATTCACAAATGTTTATAGACTTAGAAACAAAATACCCATTTCTGTTACTTCATGTCATAGGCCCTCACTGCAGCTTTCTTATGTGGGTTTTACCCTCTTCACATCTGATATTCTTAAAATGTGGAGTTCAAATTATAAAAATTTAAAACAAAACAAAACAGCCTAATGCAAAGAATAATAAAAGTATTATTTTAAGTTCTCTGCCAGTTACGCATGGGGTCAGCAACTGTCTTTTACTTAAGGATAAAAAGGTAAATTAAAATTGTAAACGATTCTTTTAAAATTGACTGCATCTTAGAATTGGCCATGAAAGTACCTTGAAAAGAATAAAAATCTACAGATAGATGGTATTAGCTTTCTCACTAATTTAATTTTTAAGGCTCTCCTAGAATTAGAAAAAGACTGGCCACTTTGACTTTTCAAAGTCCTTCAGTATAAACATACACACTTAAAATAAATTAAATAAGTCGTTAAAATAATAAAAATATCCCTTAGAAAAACTGTAATTATAAATTTAACAACTGTTTTTTCTTTTTCTTTTTTGGTGTATCACAGTTAACATTAAATATAGTAGCATCCAAAGCAAAAAAACCTCAAAGTCTAATTTCGAGGCACCCTTTTTAATCTGTTGAGGCCCACCAACTTCCTTGTTAATGTTTTTCTTAACTTTTTTTTTTTTTTTTTTTGCCACAACTGGGCGACAGTTAAACCTCAGCTTTCTAGTTTCCATCAACAGTGACTATGAGTGCACAGTATCCTTTGTAGTTCATATCTTTTTGAACAAGGTACAATGTAAATAAATGAAAAATTAACGAGGTATGTTTTTCTTGTTCAAAGCCATCACCTTACAGTTTGCAATAGGGCAGAGCTGCATACCATCTCCAATCATCTTCATACCTTCAGAGGAATTCTGACTTAATGCAATATTGCACATTTGCATCTATGTAGCCCAGTGGTTGCCTAGAAAGGTGTTTTTTTGGAGGGTGGATGGGAGTACGGGATGCCCCAAATTTAAAGCAAAGAATACCAACATTCAAAAACATCCAACCCTCTGCCCAAACCCACCCAGTCGTACTCGGTCATTCTCGATCTTCTTTATATTTTCGGCAAACGTAGTCTTTTCCTTGCAGCGGATGACAAGAAGGCCAGCGAGCGCCCAGGGGATGGGGCCTTTTTAGTACACCCAATCAAAGCAGCAAAAAGAAGGTGAAACGTCGGCTGGATCAATATCCTGAGCGGAGTGAAATCGCCGATGCTTAGGAGTGAATGTAGCGGCCCGTCTCCATAGCAACCAGCTGCGGCGCCTCTCCGCCTCTCCGGCTCCCGGATGTTGTGAGGCTCGTGGCCGCCTGCCCCAGCTTCCTGCAACCTCCGTGCGGCGGGCTGCGCTGCTCTTCGGGAATCGTAGTTTTCCCCTCCACTGCCGCCCCACGTAGAGAGCGGGCGAGACTACGAGTTCCAGCATGCGCTGCGGCGCCCCGCCGGCCACCTCCTCCCGGCAGCGGACGCCCGCGAGCAGGTTGTTGTTTTTATGAGAAGCGTCACTGCGCTCGGAGCTGTGTCCACCGCCACCGCGACAGCCGGCGCTTTGGGGCGGAGGTGGCGCTGCCCCCGCAGGTACGGCCCTGGGCGGGTTTGGACCCCGGGAGAGGAGTCGCGCTGGCACCGGCGTCTCCGCCGCCTGGCGGAGGCACTCGCGCGGTCCCCCCTGGGGCTGGGGCTGCTGGGACCGTAGTTCCACCCGTGCCGCCTGGCGCGTGCGGCCCCACGGGTGGCTTCGGAACCCGAGTCTGCAGACTCTGCGGCCGGAGTCGGTTCCTGAGGCGTCGGGTCTGGTGGTCCTGCATCCTCCAACCCCCGCGTGCAGACCCTAGAGCTGCGCCAGGGGTGTAGGGAAGCTTACGGCTCGAAGGACGCTCCTTCCTTCACTGGGCTGGTTTGGGGCACTTTTTGGTCCTGAGGGTGAGAATCCATATGGTGAGATGTTATGTGCGTCACCCCTGCCGGGTTTTCAGCCAGCCCATCTTTTTCGGTGACGTTTGAGCCCCGTGATGCCAGGAATAGACATTAAATATTAAGTAAATACAGGTGAAATTTCTGCTCGTACGACAGGCTGATACTGATCAAATCCTCCTCTATATTCTTGTCCTCCTCCACCGGTCCGCTTTAGCGTCGGTCTTCCCAATCGATAAATCCTCTGGATTAGCTGTCCATACAGTGCCTTGCATGCCTTACGTGTTTTCCTCGTTTAATGAATCCAGGTCTGCCGTTGGGAGCGCCAGTTTTAACCAACTCAGCCGGTTAAGGTACTTTGTTGAGTGGGTGAAATTTACACTGCTTCACTCCAGCTTTATTAAAAAACGGAATGGAGTTTTTTTGTAGCTAGAATAGGTGACTATAGTATAGCGAATTTTAGTAGATTTGCATTTTCCAATAACGTCGCATCCCCCAGATAGTGCTTGAAATGTCACTATTAGCCCATCATATCTTTGGCTTAAGGTTTGAATCTTATTAGGTCACAAGTTTCTCGGTGGGGATATTATTTTAATGTCTAAGGATAGGATTCTAATTAAGCTATTAAAATCGTTCACAGTGTTTAAAATCATTATTTAGTTTGTGAAATATTATTTTTAAATAAAACAGGTTAGAGAATAATGTAGTTCTAACTTTATAAACTGTATAGAACTTAGAAGCAATTGTATGTCTATATGAAATGTCAAGGCAAGAAACATTTAAAACCTGTAGGGAATTTTGATGAGTTTATTTGAGCCACACTGAGGATAATTGCCTGGGAGCAAAATCTCAGTGGGTTGAGAAAATGCTCCAGAGAGGGTCAGTTTTGCACCTTATTTTATTATTATTATTTTTTTTATCCTCACCCGAGGACACTTTTCCATTTTTTGTTCAGATAGAATGGGAGAGAGAGAGAGAGGAAGAGAGAGAGAGAAACATCAACGTGAAAGGGACACACAGAGTGGCTGCCTCCCGCACGACCCAACCAGGGCTGGGGACAAACTGCAACAGAGGTGCATGCCCTTAGCGGGAACTGAAACCGGGTCTCTCTGGACCGCAGGCCAGTGCTCTAACCGCTGAGCCAAACCGGCCAGGGCTGAACTTGGTCAGGTGTAGTATGTGGCCCCTTTTTGGTCCACAGAAATAAGACTCAAATGACAGTTATAGTTATAAAAGTGAAACTTCTGATAATTTTTTCTTTATACTTTCTGGTATTTTCCAAAATTTCTGTAGGAAAAAAACTTAATTTTAAAATGGATATAGATGCAGCAATTACAGTTATAAAGACTCTAAACATTACTTTAAAAAGTAAATAAGTAACAACAGAAAATGTAATTGTTGGAAGGGACAAGAAAGAATTCATTAGTTGGGCTGGACAGGGCAAAGAACCAGTTGACAATAATTCTTAGCATTTGTACATCTCATCTCATTTTGATCTTTTCTTTTCACTTTGTATAGTAAAATCAAAGAAAAAAGTGCTTAACCTTCAGTTAAGGCAGTGTAATCTTGATTATTTCTATAAATACATCAGGTGACAAAATATGGGGATATTAATCCAAAACTATATCCAGATCTGGATATAGCAGAAGTTTTTATTTGTTATCTTGTAAGCAAGCACTTGACAGTGGAAATAAGCAATTATTATAAAATGGAACGTTTTAAGCTTGTTTTCATTGAATCTTTGAGTGCTGTGTTTTATATTTTGGATTATGTTAATTTTTGTTTTATTTCCTATTATGGATATGTTGGATATGGATAGGTAAGTAGCATATTATTTAGCCCACATTTTTTCTGTCATACAGAAAGGGCCATATTGTTCTTCTATAGGATTAGTCTATGTTTTTTTTTTTGTAATTATCAGTCTTGAAAAATTGGGATATACCTCTTTCCCAGGTGTCCATTAACTTTTAATAAAATATCCATTCTGAAGCCTTTTTGTTTTTTCAAGCTGTAGTATTCATACTTTATTTTCTTAGGTTATCTTCTTGGGTTTACTTCTCTCCCTAGATCACAATTTCTTTTCAGTGTTTTCTACCTTTCGATTTTGTATATTTTGTGCACTGTATTGGCTCAGTATCTTACCAGATATTTGAGTCCATTTAGAGGGCATAAGGAGCATTCATAATTAACATGTCTGATTTACAAACTAGTTCCACTGTATTATTGTTCAGGTTGTGTAATTGTATTCTTATCCAAGTTAAATAAAGATTTTAAAAAATTAAGTGTGTATAATTGCTAAGATCATAGAGGTAGCAGTTTCTAAACATGTAAAAAATATGGACACAGCAGCAAGGCCTGTTAAGCCCAGGGTGTTTTAAAACTGAAAATGCAGACTCATCTAACAGGGCAGAACTACTAGAGTCTGAATTGTTTTTGTGTTTGTGTGTGGTTAAGGTGAGGAAATTGCCATATTGTGACAATTTACATGTTCAAGAATTGTCTTCCTGTCACTTTTGCAATTTGGACTAAATTAAATTAGCTAAGAAATATGAGTCAGTTCAAAGGTTATGTCTGATATATTGTACTAGATAAACTTGAAAAACATATCTCAATTTGAGTTCTAAAATGAAGTTTAGCCCTGTAATCTGGGGAGGATTGCAAGTAACTGATAAATTTCAGGATTAAAAAAAAAAATTTAAGGGCACTTAATGTGTGGGAACCTGTTTAAAGGCCTGTAGGGTTTTCTGAAGGAAGTATTAGAAAATGAGTAAAGTGAGTTAAAGAATTTCCTCTGTCATCACAGGAAGTCAAAAATCTAATTTTTCTTTAGTACTTGTCTGTAAATCACTACCCTAAAAACTTACTTCTGGTTCATACTGCCAGTATGATGGAATGTAAAAAAAAATAATTGGATTGGGAGGAGTCAGAATGTTTAATTATGTTGAGCAAGTAATGTAATGTTATGGGTCTCTGTTGTTTCCATTTGTGTGCTAAATAATAGCCAATTGCTTTACTTCATGAGGTAGTTGTGAAGATCAATCAGATAGGGAAATGCTATCACTTTGTAAGTGACAGTGACTCATGCAAAGTATTATTGCCTGCTTAAGTAACATTTACATAAAAATATTCATTTGAAGTGTAGTGACTTAATATGATACATACTTTATTATTGGGAATTTTGATGGAGAAAAGTCAAAGGGCATCTTCATTTGATATTTCTGGTAGAGCTTTTTGGCTTTTTTTGATTGAAGGAAAGAAACCTGGCTCCTCTCCTGACTGTGACTTTGCACTCTGGTGCCTTAAAGGTCCTGAAACTGCAGTGTGCTTTTATGGTTGGGTTTTTAATTTTGGTTTTGATTTGTTTTAATTGCACATCTAAAGGATAAGGAAAATGGTCAGTTTAGCTTAACAGAAGAAAGTGGATGTTGTTTTTAATATTTTATTTTTATTTATCTATTTTTTTATCCTCATCTGAGGACATTTTTTTTTGATATTTTGTTCAGATAGAGTGGGAGGGAGAGAGAGAGAGAGAAACATCAACGTGAAAGGGACACATTGAGTGGCTGCCACTCACATGACCCAACCAGGGCCAGTGACAAACTACAACCAGGACCGGTGACAAACTACAACCGAGGTACATGCCCTTAGCGGGAACTGAACCGGGGTCTCTCCGGACCGCAGGCTGATGCTCTAACCTCTGAGCCAAACTGGCCAGGGGCATGTTTTTAATATTTTAAAATGGTACTTTAAGATGGTTTCATGAACAGGTCCTCAGAGAGATCCATTGTATGTTTAAATAAGCACTGGTCTTTCAATGCAAGAGATAGTTTAGAGCTTAGATGCTTCCTTAAGAGATAGTTTAGAGCTTAGATGCTTCCTTCTGGGAAAGTCAAATTTGCCTATTGCAGTTAGGTTGACGTGTTTTTTTACGAGTAAAAAAGTTTTAGAAACTTGCCAATAATTTCTGAGGACTTCATGAGAGTAAATATAAGTAAATAAAGGCAAAGAAATAGGTAATTTATCATGGGTTGGTAAAACTGCTTGTTTGTTAAGTTGATAATGCAAATAACATCTTTATTAACATTTTAATTTAATATTACTACTAGAAAGTAACAATGACTATACATTTAATTCTGTAATGTGTGCAAACTTTAAAAAATGAAAAACAATAAAAATGTATAAAATTCCTTTGTTTTCCATCTTTATCTTTTTTTTCCCAAATGAAAAAGTTGAAGACAATTGTAAAAAAAATTAGGACAGGTAATCTTTATGTGAAAAGTATGTTTAAAATGAACAAACTATAGATTATATGAT